TTGATTAGAGTAGATTACTTTTTTAAATTATAAATTGAAATTATATTATCAAAAACTGTGAAGAATCTGAGATTTTTACCCAACTAGTAAGCCAATATGTTAATCTATCATTTCATGGATTCAAGTAAAAGATACAATACTCCTGGGTGAGAGATAAAAGAGTTTGTTACTTGCAACAGCAGTAGCCAGAGTACTGGCATTTTGCATCAGTTCTCCAAATCCCAGCTCCTATAGACAATAGCCACACAGTGGGTTACATTATAGAAGAGAAATCCTGAGCTTAGAGAGCCCAAATCTTTTATAAAGTGCAGGAAGCATGCTTGCCCTTTGCTCTAGATGAAAACATTATCTTTATCATACTGGACAGTAAACATGCCTGCCCTGGCGCCAGAGGAGACACTATTTCTAGCTTCCAAGGCTGTAAGCAAACCTATCCTTTGCTCCAGAGGGAGACCGTACCTCTATTTTCCAAGACTGCTTGCTATACAATTCTTCATTGAATTTTGTCAGGTGCTTTTTCTGCATATATTGAGATAACCATGTGTCTTTTATCCTTTAATCTGTTAATATGTTAAATTACATTAATTTTGAAACATCATACAATCCTGTCATTCCTGGGATAACTGCACCAGATTGTGTTGTATTATTCTTTTAATGTATACTCCTGGATTCAATTTGCTAATGTTTTGTTAAGAATTTCTGCTTCCATTTTCAGAAGGATATTGGTCTGTATATTGTTTTCTTTTGATGTCTTTGTCCAGCTTTCAAATCATAACAATCCTGACTTCATAATTAATTTCCAAATATTTGGAGATTTTCATATATTGCTTTGGTATTGATTTCTAATTTAATTGTTGTGATCAGAGAACATATTCTGTACAATTTGTCTTTTTAAATTTATTCAGACTTTTTTAGTGCCCAGAACCTGGTCTATCTTGGTTAATATTTCATGTGAACTTGAAAAGTATGTATATTCTCTTGTTGTTGAGTAGAGTCTTCTATAAATGTCAACTAAGTAAAAGTGTTTAACAGTGTTAAACAAATCTTCTGTATCCTTACTGATCTTCTGTCTACTTATTCTAATAGTTATTGATAGAGGAACAGAGAAGTAGTTTTGCTCATTCTATCAGTTTTGTCTCACATGTTTTTAAGCTCTTTTATGTGTACATACACATTTAGCGCTATTATGTCTTACCAGTGAACTGGTTCCTTTATTATTATAAAATGACCCCCTTTAGCCCTGGTGATGTTCCTTGTTCTAAAGTCTTTGACTGATATTAATACAGATCCTCTGGTTGTCTTTAGATTAGTGGTTGAATAACCTATCTTCTTTGTGTCCTCTTACTTTTATCTTGTAATGCTGAATCAGTAAAAAAAACTTTTGATAGTTAAGTAATAAATATATACTATGAAAACTTGGTGACTAAATCCTGAAAATCAAACATAAATCAAAGAATTCAAGTATTGAGAAAAGAACTAACGGTAAGCACTGTATCCATTTAAATACAGAACTAAGAGTAAAGAACTATGAGAATTATGGTTACAAAATAGAATATTAGTGTTAAAAATATTGGCAATATAAAACAAACAATATAACTTAAAAAATCAGGTGCATTCTTTTACTTTTTTTTTTTTTTTAAGGATGACCATTAAGGACATCTCAACCCTTGGCTTGATGTTGTGAGCACCACGCTCAGCCATTGAGCCAACTGGCCATCCCTATGTAGGATCCGAACCTGTGGCCTTGGTGTTATCAGCACCGCACTCTCCCGAGTGAGCCACGGACTGGCCCCACATTCTTTTACTTTTAAACTACCTTGTCTGTTTTGCTTACTGCTGCATCCCTATTCCCAGAAGCATGCCTGGAACATAGTAGGCACACAATATTTGTTAAATGAATGATGAATGAACAGGCTGCCATTACACTAGACAGTAACAGACATAGGCTGGACATTCACTTGATAGGAATGTTGTAAAGTTTTAAGCATCAAGAAGTTTAGACAAGATGACATTTTAGGTCCCTTCCTAACCTAAATATATAATGATTCCAAATTGCTTCATGAAGATTTTTGGAATTATGTAAATACTTGGGAATAATATATTTGGTTCTCTACTATCTCCCATAGGCTTCTAATCAATATCTTTGATGAGGTGTGGGAAGAAATAAACTAGAAACTGGCATTACCAGTCTTTTTGTCAAATATCTTGTGTTCTATACTTGATTTCCTACAAGTAAGTAACCATCCCCTTACTCTACTCTCCAATTTTGATAAAGGATGTACAGTGAGTAATGTAACTTGAAGCCATTTAAGAAGAATCATTATTTCTATGGGAAACTGGGGAAGTGGCCTGGGAACAAAATATAATAATAAATAGGTAGTTAAAAGTAGCCAGACTGCCTGGCTTTGCCCCTGTTGATTATGCTACCCTGGACAAGTTACTCAATTTTTCTCTGCCTCCATTTCTTCATTTGTTAGAGGAAGATTAAATGATTAATAAATATAAACATATTAATATGTAATGCCCTTGGAATGATACCTTGCACATAGTGAGCATTATATAAGTATTAGCTACTAATTCATTTTTGACATTTTAAACAAAATACTATAATGGAAAATTCAGTGACAATCAATGAAAATTCAAATGACCAAATTACCTTAAAATTTATTTGCAACAAATTATTTGATGGATAATGATCTAGTATTTGTTAAAGCTTTTTAAAAATAGCTTATATTTTTAATTTGGTCTTCGTGGTAATTATTCCAGGTAGATAATGCAGATGAGGAATGAGTCTCAAGAGATTAAGTAATTTTCTCCAACATACACAGCTAGTAATAGATTGAACCTGGCTTATTATTCTTAATAAGGATAATAAGCACATTCCACAACATTTATATACAAAAGAAGCAGGCAGTCTCTGAAGCAGCAGGATAAGATTTCAAAAAATATGCTACTACTGCTTAACTTTCTCTCTAGTTCCTGTTGGAGTGTCTCGTTAATCTAAATCTTTCTTAAAGTTAAGCCTTTCACCCATGATCAGGTTAACAGCCACAATCTCTGTTTCAGTTTTGAGCTTTAAACAGACGTGGTTGGATGGTTTGTAGCAGAGATTAATGGCTGGCTAAGCAAACTTATTACTTCCATTATTCATTAATAGTGGATGCAGAAAACTATTCAAGTCACACCAGCATCGTAATGGAAAAGTAGACAACTAGATGTCTGAGTTGTCAAGAGATAGGATGCCAGTGTCCATTAACTCTTAACTCTTCATGTCCGAGTCTGAGATATAAAGTTATTCACAGGAAACTACCTAATGTTGCATTGTTGCATTTTCAAAATTAAAAGAAGAGACAATAATTGTAAAACAATCAATTGGCATCATAGTTTGCACCCCTCAAATTGAATTTGTGTGTGTGCCTCTCAACTGACACTTTGAAAAATCATAATTTTTCTTTATGCTTCACTTTTCCCATTTCTAGTGTCTGTAATTGCTTTTCTGTAAATTGACACATTTATGTAAACTCTAGATAAAGTCTGCCAATTTGTCATACTACTACTTACACCCTACAATAAGGCATTCAATGAGTGTTCCCAACTATGAATATCATATGAGGTGTGCATTGCTCCAAAATGGCACATTAATAAAAAGCGATTGCAGCTAACAAAAAAACAGAGGTAAAAATGAACAATTATGTAGAGTTTAATAAAATCTGGAAATATAAACCTCTTATCTCAAAAGAATGCATATAAGGTTTGTTTGGTAACATTTATCAACATATAACTATAAGTTTTATTCAGTTTTCTGTACCTGGTAAAGCCATTCCTATTCTAAAGACAAATATTTTACCCTTTGAATCAATTACACCCTTGGTAATGTTTTTGAGATGTTTAATGCATACTGTCGAGTTATGAGGCATGACAATTTTTTTAAAAAACAAACTTGTTACTAAAAATTCTCTGTACCTTCTATACCCCTTCAAAATTCAGATACATATATGCCTTGACATAATTCCCCCCACTGGGGAAAAAAAAAATGGGCCCAAAAGAGAAAGAATCCTGCAGCCTCTTTACATTCTGATTTCAAGCTCTGAGAAGGCTAGACAGGCAGAGGGACAAGTATTAAGAAAGCATCATTGATAAAAAGTAACTTCCCCGTTATTTTAATAAGAGTGCACTTCAAAAAGTTCATGGCAAGATTTGTATTATCTTTTAATTCTATTTTTCCACGAATTTTTTGAAGTACCCTCATTGATATTTTAAATTTCCTTTTTGAAAGACAAACCACCACCACCCTGTGCCCCTATTGAATGAGGACTATTGATAGAGACCTCGCTATGAATTACAGTAATCTATTTAAATCGTATCTTTTAAGAACAGATATTTTTAAAAGAGATAAGACAAGTGGAGAAGAGATAACTTAGAAACTAGAGGATAAAACTCTGTAGGAGGCTCCAGAAGAGGCAGCTTTGGACAGCTAGAGAGGAATATGAGAGGAACCCAAAGACAAACCTTGTCCATCATGCAACTTTGAAATTTTTATTAGATATTTAACTAACAAGGGCATTCCCCCCCCCACAACTCATCTGTGGCTGCCATTGGCTAAACAATCTGATTCTTTAGATAAGCCATAAATAGAAGGCATGAAACCACATAAGCTGAAACACGTCTCACCATATAGTGTGTGTATATATGAATCTATGCAATGTAAATGAATCTAATATTTATCTTTAATGTTAAGTATGCTTTAATAGGCTACGCCACTTAGATAGCTATCAACCCAATTTTCAAATACCTGTAAGAAGAAACAGTAAGTTAAGAATTTACTGTGCACTTTCTACTTCTCCAGTCCACCTCTACTTCTACCCTCCAACCCTGCAATTTTAAACACTAGGAGTAAAAGTTTTCAAATGATAGAATATACTTCCATATTTTATAAAACTTCTAAATATTATATTCTGCTCAGAAATATAGAGGTGAAAACATAGATCACCAATCACATGTTAAATTATTAGTAAATACTATTTATTAATTAAGTAGTAGTAGTGAAATGAGGAAAAGTATATGAGTTGCAGGTTTAAATTTCTTCTAAATGCCTGGGCTATATGTTCCACAACATCTTATATTTTTTTCAAATAATTACTTGCAGTCAGGATCTAAAAAACTACTTGGTTTCCAGTTGCTAATAGGATTGGACTGAAGCAGTCTTGTAGTTCTTCATATTTAGTGCCCTAAAATTGGAAAATAAATGCACATTTAATTTTATAGGTGCAGGTAATATGTCTGTACATTCTTATAAAATTTTTTGCACTAAAATTTTAAAACTAATACATTTTAAACATATTAACAATCCATATACAAAATTCTCTCACCAATTTTAAAAACTTCACTTTATTAAAATCAGATATACTTAGAAAATGTAATTTAAGAAGGAAAAACAATTACAGAATCAATTTTAAATACTACTGTCCAAAGTTTTATTAGTTTTAAAATTAGAGTAAAAACTGCTAAAACTTGATTTAGGATAATATTTGTGATAATGGAAAAAGAAACTTAGTTTGATAAACTTAAAATTATAAATAGAATATGGAAGATGTGTTAGTAAGATATTACTAAACAGGAAGATTTGTTTTCCCGGTTCCAAACATGTATGCTAAGCATCATAGAACTTTCTCAGATTTGTTCTATGAATAGAAAAGAACACACAGAAAACCTGAAACTGCCTCACACAAACACACAAAAAATTCCATCCACTGTATTTGAGAGTGGGTGTGGTAAGGAAAATTTCAATTTTACTGCCTGTTCTATTAGATACAGTTTGGCAGAGTACTGATAGGTGGCTTGCCAAAGGATAAAGGTCAAAGGACATAGTAAAAAAGCTCCATTATCTTCCTGTTTCCAAGTTCAATACTATACCAACTAACCCACACAGAATATCATTCCAATAGACAACAGTTTAAGTTACATAAATTTACCCTGGTATGTAAAGAAAACTCGGTTAGTGATGCAGATCAGGTTTTACTTATTCTTGTAGAATATTTGAATTTCACTAGGTTAAAATGAATCTTCCTTACTTATGCCACAAAATTGTTACCAAAGTGCTATGAGGACAAAATATGCATAAATAAGTTGTATCATCACGGTTATCATTTATATTAACTTATTAAAACCCATGTGGGTTAAGACATCATTCAAAATATATTTCCAAAACCTGTTCATTTGAACCCATATAAAGTATTGGCAACAAATGTTAGGACTGGAAAGCTTTAATTAGCTAATTATTACATCTAATAAAGACTATTCATTTCACCTACACTACCTCACCTATAATAGCACCTCATAAATCAGTGATTTTGTATTTATTGCATGGTTTAACTTCTATATACAATTTTATGGTGCCATAGCTATAAGAGCTTTTGTCAAAGTATTTTGTATTATAGTTTGGGAGAATTGTTATTTTATTTTACATAAAATTTGAATGTACTATGTATCCAGTTAATTGCAGTGATACTACAATGCTGAAATTGAATTTGGAAGAAAGACATTCGTTCCAATATTCACCACGAGACGCACACATGATTTAATACAGATGGACATGTAATAGTCAGAGGGCTAGAAGTAATAGATATACACACAGCATGCTGTAGTTAATGCTACTGACATAAACAAATGCCAAAAAAATAACTTTAACACTTTTTATGCACTTGCTATTTGGGGAATATTTCAGTAAGTGTTTTAAAGAATATAAAAATCAAACACAGCTACATGTACAAAATAACTATAGTACACAGTATAAATGTACAAGATGACTATGATACATAAAAGTCAGGGGTTATGAGAGAAGTTCAGTAGAGACTCCATCTGAGGATATTAGTAAAGGTTTATAGGAGAGATGACAGAAAGCAGGTAGAAGGCAGAATGAATAAATTTATTAGCAATGTAACAGGGAAGCTAAAAAAATAGTGTATGTATTTCATGTGGCTGAAACAAAGCATGCATGAAAATGAAAAGGGGAAAGACAACATGAAAGTAGGCCACAACCACATTACAAAGTGCCCTTCAATTCTGTGTATTGGGTTTTCAAATGTTTGAAACTAGATGGTGTATATTTCAAGATAATGCCCCCATGAGACCGGAAGAGGATAATATCATTTTTTTAAGAAAAAAATAGATCTTAAAGTATATAAAATAGAGTAATCATATACATCAGAAAAAAATGTGGGATTACATGCATTCATTTTGTAGATATTCACGTTCAAAGTAACAAACTACGAAAGTACTTCAAAAAGTTTGTGGAAAAATGGAATTAAAAGATAATATGAATCTTTCCATGAACTTTTTGAAGACCTCTTGTATATGCAATTTTTATTTTTCCTTATTTAAAATCATTTTTTTTATCTTGAAAACTCTCAACACAAAATTTAGTGCTAGATAAGTCCCGGAATTATATAAAGGTTAAGATGCCCAAAGACTTTATTTTTCAACTTAAACAACTCACCAAATGGATTAAAATAATTCAGTCAGAAAAGCTGATGCATACTAAAGCCCTGGATGCAAGCTGAGTTGAGTGGATAAGGTGAAAAAATATTGTTAGATATCAAGGGACCACTGACTCTTCTCAACAGTCTCGTGAGTAATAAGAGAAATAAGAATATGAACATCACCTCAGTTAGAATGCTCCAAATTGTCAAAGTTTTAAGATAATATCAACTTACGTAATGTCTTCTTTCCCAAACTAATTCACACATTCAAGATTATATTTCTGGTTAGGTAAAAGGTAACATATAGCACTAGTGTTTTTAAATTTATTTATTAAAATTTTAAATTGTCCTTAGCTGGTTAATTCCTTTGGTAAATATATGATTCTAATGAAGTTAACGGACAGTGAATCAGAAATACACCTTTGGCAGTGCACACCACCCATAGAGAGGCCCCTAGAGAGGCCCAAGAGCTGCCAGGCCCATGCACCCCAAGGCACCTGTGCCGGAGCAGGTAGGCACTGCTGTGGGACTGCCAGCCCAGGCCAATGCACACCACCCAGAGAGGCCCTAAAGCCACTGGCCCCACATGGCCCCGAGCCACCCACATCAGAACAGGTACCACTGCGAGATTCCCAGCCCAGGCCAATCCCCTCAGCCCAGAGGGGCCTAAGCCTCCTGCCCACAGGCAGCAAGGCAGCCATGCCAAATTGGCAGACCCTGCAGGATCCTAGCCAAACATTAGGGTCAAACAAGTGGATAGTGAAATCCCTGCTACAATGACTAAACACTATCTGGAAAGATACAAGAAATATGAAAAATCAAGAAAGCACAACACCACCAAAAGGTAATAATAACTCTCAAACTCTAGATCCTATAGAACAGAAAGTCTTTGAAATGACTGACAAAGAATTTTGAGCAACAATTTTAAGGAAATTAAATGAGATACAAGAAAACTAGGTTAGACAACACAATGAAATGAGAAAAAGTATACAGGACCTGAAAGAAAAAATGTACAAAGAAATCAATGCCCTGAAAAAGAATGTAGCAGAGCTTGCAGAGCTGAAGAATTCATTCAATGAAATAAAAAACACAATGGACAGTTTAACCAGCAGGCTAGAACAAGCAAAAGAGAGAATTTCTGACCTTGAAGATGCTGAAGTAACACAGGTGGACAAAAAAAAAAAAAAGAAAAAGAATTTAAAACATTAAAGAAAATCTAAGAGAGATAACAGATAACCTTTAGCACGCAAATATCCAAATCATGGGTATTCCAGAAGGGGAGGAAAAAGGAAATAGCATTGAAAACATATTCAACAAAATAATGGCAGAAAACTTCCCAGGTTTAGGGAAAGACACAGATCTTCAGATTCAGGAGGCTCAAAGATCCCCAAACATACCCAACCCAAAAAAGTCCTCTCCAAGTCATGTTATAGGCAAAACAGCAAAACTCAAAGACAGAGAATCCTAAAAGCTGCAAGAGAGAAGTGTCAAATCACCTATAAGGGAGCCCCAATCAGGCTAACATCAGACTTTTCATCAGAAACCCTAAAAGCCAGAAAAGAAAGGGATGATATATTCAAAATACTAAAAGACAAAGATTGCCAGCCAAAAATACTTTACCCAGCAAGGCTATCCTTCCAAAATGAAGGACACATAGTATATTTCTCAGACAAACAAAAACTGCAGGACTTCACTACCACACGACCAGCCTTACAAGAAATTCTCAAGGGAGTACTGGGTTTGGTACCTAAAAACAACCACTACTGCCATAAATACTTGAGAAAAAACAAAACCCACTACTAAAATAAAAATTCTAACAATAAAGAGAAAAGAAGTTTATCTACCACCCCAAGAAACCAAGAAATACAGAAGACAAACAGTAAATCAGAAAGGAACAGAAGATACTTAAGACATCCAAACAAAAATCAGTCAAATGCTAAAGGTAAATCAACACTTTTCAATAACAATTCTTAATGTAAAAAGGATTAAATTCCACACTCAAAAGCCACAGACTGACTGACTAGATTAAAAAGGTGGACCCAACTATATGCTGCCTTCAAGAGACTCACCTCACCTGTAAAGACACACGTAGACTAAGAGTGAAAGGATGGAAAAAGATATACCATGCAAACAGAAATGAAAAACAAGCTAGAGTAGCTATTCTTATATCTGATAAAATAGACTTTAAACCAAAACTATAAAAAGAGATAAAGAAGGCCACTATATAAAGATGAAAGGATTTATCCATCAAGAAGACATAACAATCATAAATATATATGCACCCAATGTTGGAACAGCCAGATTTATAAAGCAAACACTATTAGACCTAAAGAATGAGATACACACTAATACCATAATAGCAGGGGAACCTGAACACCCCACTCTCAATATTGGACAGATCACCTAGGCAAAGAATCAGCACAGAAACACAAGATCTAAACAACACTTTAGACCAATTAGACTTGGCAGATATATACAGAACATTCCATCCAACAACCTCAGAATATTCATTCTTCTCATCAGCACATGGAACATTCTCCATATGATCACATGTTAGGTCACAAATCAAGTCTCAACAAATTCAAAAATATTGGGATTATTCCATCTATTGTTTCAAATCACAATGGATTAAAATTAGAAATCAATAACAAACGAAACTCTGGAAATTATACAAACACATGGAAATTAAACAGCATTCTACTTAATGACATATGGGTCCAAGAAGAAATTAAACAGGAAATCAAAAAATTTATTGAAACTAATGAAAATAACAACACATCATACCATAACCTGTGGGAAACTGCAAAAGCAGTATTAAGGGGGAAATTTATCACATTAAATGCTTACTTCAGAAGAATGGAAAGATGGCAGTAAGCAACCTAATGCTTCACCTTAAAGAACTAGAAAAACAAGAACAGTCCAAACCCAAAGTTAGCAGACAGAAAGAAATCATTAAGATCAGAGCAGAACTTAATGAAATAGAAACTCAAAAAATGATACAAAAGATCAATGAATCAAAAAGTTGGTTTTTTGATATGATAAATAAAATTGACAAACCATTAGCAAGGCTAACTAAAAAAAGAAGAGAGAAGACCCAAATAACAAAACTTAGAAATGAAAAAGGTGATATTACAACTGATACCTCAGAAATACAAGAAATCATTAGAGACCACTATAAACAACTAAATGCCAACAAATTTGAAAATCTGGAGGAAATGGATAAATTTCTGGACACACACAAACTACCAAAACTGAGCCAAGAAGATGCAGAAAATCTGAACAGACCAATAACAACAAAAGAGATTGAAGCTGCTATCAGAAGGCTCCCAACAAAGAAAGGCACAGGACCAGATGGGCTCACTGCAGAATTCTACCAAACCTTCAAAGAGGAATTGATACCAATTCTCTACAAACTATTCTAAAAGATTGAAACAGAGGCCATCCTCCCAAACTCATTCTATGAAGCAAACATCACCCTGATACCAAAAACAGACAAAGATACAAAAAAAAGGAAAACTACAGGCCAATATCTTTGATGAATATAGATGCAAAAATCCTCAATAAAATACTAGCTAACAAAATACAGCAACACATACACAAAATTATACACCATGATCAAGTAGGATTCATCCCAGGATGAAAGGTTGGTTCAACGACCAAACCAATGTGCAAATCAATATGCAAATCAATAAATGTGATACACCACATCAATAAAATCAAAGACAAAGACCATATGATCATTTCTATAGATGCCGAAAAAGCATTTGACAAAATTCAACATCCATTCATAATAAAGACTCTCTACAAGTTAGGTATAGATGGAAAGTATCTCAACATAATTAAAGAAATATATGATAAGCCCACTGCCAATATCATCCTGAATGGGGAAAAGCTTTCAGCTTTTTTTCACAGGAACTAGACAAGGATGCCCACTCTCACCACTCCTATTCAACATAGTATTGGAAGTACTAGCCAGAGCAATCAGAGAAGAGAAGGAAATAAAGGGCATCCAGATTGGAAAAGATGAAGTCAAGCTGTCCCCATTTGCAGATGACACGATCCTAGATATCAAACAGCCTAAAGCCTCTAGAAAAAGCCTCTCATTTATCTTAGAGTTGGTAAATGATTTCAGCAAAGTTTCAGGATACAAAATCAACACACAATAATCAGTAGCATTTCTATACTCCACCAGTGAACATGCAGAAAAAGAAATCAAGAAAGCTAGCCCATTTACAATAGTCATCAAAAAACTAAAATACTTAGGAATAAAGTTAACTAAGGATGTAAAAATTCTCTACTATGAGAACTACAAACCACTGCTGAGAAAAATTAAAGAGGATGCAAGAAGATGGAAAGATATCCCATGCTCTTGGATTGGAAGAATTAACATTTTGAAAATATCCATACTACCCAAAGTGATCCTCAAATTCAATGCAATCCCCATCAAAATTCCAATGACATTTTTCTCTGAAATGGAAAAACCTATCCTAACATTTATATGGAATAACAAAAGACCACGAAAAGCCAAAGCAATTCTGAGCAAAAAAAATAAAGCTGGAGGCATATCACTACCTTACTTTAAACTATGCCACAAAGCTATAATAACCAAAACAACATGGCACTGGCATAAAAACAGAAACACTGATCAATGGAATAGAATAGAGAATCCAGAAATCAACCCATACACCTACAGCCATCTGATCTTTGACAAAGGCACTAAGTCTACACACTGGGGAAGAGACTGCCTCTTCAGCAAATGGTGCTGGGGAAACTGGATTTCCATATGCAGAAGAATGAAACTAGACCCATACCTCTCACCATATACCAAAATCAACTCTAAATGGATAAAAAAATTAAATACACACCCTGAAACAATAAAACTCCATAAAGAAAACATAGGGGAAACACTCCAAGAAGAAGGATTGGGTAGAGACTTCATGAATACAACCCCAAAAGTACAGGCAACCAAAGGAAAAATAAATAAATGGGATTATATCAAACTAAAAAGCTCTGCACAGGAAAAGAAACAATTAACAGATTTAAAAGACAGCCAACAGAGTGGGAGAAAATACTTGCAAAATATACATCTGACCAAGGATTAATATCCAGAATATACAAGGAACTCAAATAACTTTACAGCAAAAAAACAAGCAACCCAATTAAAATATGGGCAAAGGAGCTGAATAGGCATTTCTCAAAGGAAGATATACAAATGGCCAACAGACACATGAAAAAATGCTCAACATCACTCAGCATTCAGGAAATGCAAATCAAAACCACACCAAGATACCATCTCACTCCAGTTAGGGTGGCTAATATCCAAAAGACTGAGAATGATAAATGCTGGCAAGGTTGTGGAGAAAAAGGAATCCTCCTACACTGCTGGTCGTCCTGCAAAATGGTGCAGCCTCTATGGAAAATGGTTCGGAGGTTCCTCAAACAATTACAGATAGATCTACCATATGACCCAGCAATTCCACTGCTGGGAATATACCCAGAGGTATGGAAATCATCATGTTGAATGGATACCTGTACTCCAATGTTTATTGCAGCACTCTTTACAATAGCTAAGAGTTGGAACCAGCCCAAACATCCATCATCAGATGAGTGGATACAGAAAATGTAGTACATCTACACAATGGAATTCTACTCTGCTATAAAAAAGAATGAAATACTACCATTTGCAGCAACATGGATAGACATAGAAAAAATTATATTAAATGAAATAAGTCAGGCACAGAAAGAGAAATACCACTTGTTCTCACTTATTTGTGGGAGCTAAAAATAAATAAATACACAATCAAACGGGGGTGTGAGGAAGAAGACACAACAATCACAATTCCTCGAACCTGTTAAGACAAGTGAACAGATATGACATTGATGGGTGGGAGAGGGGAGCGGGAGGGGGCAGGAGGAATAGGTAAAGGGACATGAAAATCAACTACATTGTATATTGATAAAATTTTTAAAAGAATAAAAAAAAATACACCTTTGTAATCAAAGGCAGTCTTATTTTTGTGATATAACAATAATGTTGGAATTATAACCACTATTCCCAAATGATAAAGGTAGACTACTGTTTTTATAAAAGAATGCAAATTTGTTATCCTTTACCTAATTCATAGTATGATTACAACAAAGCTAAAAATGTGTAAATTAGCTTAAATGGCTTTACTACTTTTTCAATGAATAGATAGAAAGGTACTTAAATGAATTCTTCCACTTTATGGTTTTGCACACAGGCATGTGCACACACACACACACACACACACAGAATGACATTTTTTTTTTTCTAATTTATATTCGAAATGCCAAAGAACTTTTTTTCAATTTTGAAGGTGTTCAGAACTGGTGTAAAATTAAAGTTTTAAGAGACTTTTATAATATACATATACTTTTTCTCAAAGCATTGTAAATGAGGTTAGTGTTTTTAATTAACCAGAATATTTCCTCTTTTTACAGAAAGTTATTTCAAAGTTAACCAACAGAACTCTCAAGCATCTTCAGGGTTCCTCACAATTGCTGAGAAATTCTCTTTGAGAAATAGCCAATGTTAACATGTACTACTAATTGAACTACAAGTATCTAAATAGTCTCAAATGACTCAAAATAAGGTGCTACGGACTAGCTTTAAAAATTATGGACTAAATAGTTTGGCACAGATAAATTAAGCTTTTCAACTGGGAATTTCAGAAAATGTGAAAGAACTTCTACAAAGGAGGGCCAGTATATGAAAGGAGCTAAGATTTCCAAATTCACCCAAATATGTCACTCTTAAAAGTGTGTGTAAATAGAGATATTATTTTGAAGAGGTCTAAGAGTTGAAAACAATTTTTTCTTGGTTTATGGACTAAACGTAAGATATTCCTACCTCCTGACATTCAAAGTCATTATACTTTCAACTGGTCTGCTTTTTGGTCCACTTGGAGGATGGAAAATCTTTTCATCTTTTCTGGAAATGTGCTTTGCCAATTTAACCACATAAGGGTCATCAGAATGTGATGGGTAAGGGTCAAATGTTCCTGCCTTCATTCCACCACCCTACAAATAAAAATGAGACAATTTAACGTTGCTTTGTATAAAGCTTCTATAAAATTAGGTTGTGAAGAAGTTTATACATATTTTTGTATTCTATGGAGCTGGTTTTTGCAATTCAAGAAAGTCATATATACTGTTTAATTCAAATATCAGCAAAGGATCTCCCTAACACTAATTCTATAATCCCAAAAGTTCTCTATAAAAATGGAGATGTTTATAGTAAGGTAATATTCTGAACTATTGCCAAGTTAAACACTATAATCCCAAAAGTTCTCTATAAAAATGGAGATGTTTATAGTAAGGTAATATTCTGAACTATTGCCAAGTTAAACACTATAATCCCAAAAGTTCTCTATAAAAATGGAGATGTTTATAGTAAGGTAATATTCTGAACTATTGCCAAGTTAAACACTATAATCCCAAAAGTTCTCTATAAAAATGGAGATGTTTATAGTAAGGTAATATTCTGAACTATTGCCAAGTATTAATATTTTAGTGAGAATTTATCAGATCAGGCCATCACCTAGTTAGGGAGTGAGCCTACTACTGAGGGAATGAGACCTATGTCAGATATATTTTGACAGGGAATAGGTAACATGGAGCCTGTCATAACATGAGTTTACTAAATGCCAGTTAATGATGGAAGAGATACCCCCGCCTTGCAAAAAAAAGGCAATGGCACATAGAAATAAAAGATGGAAGGAAAATGTGATCTACTTTTCTTGTAGCTAATTAAGAAAACTCAATCAAAACATATTTTGACTTAAACACAAGAGAGACAAATATTTGCTTTGACTTTTTTAACTGAATGGACAAGATTTTTACCTTAGTATTATATATAGTCACCAAGAAAATTCTATAGAATCATAATAACCCATTTAATTAAGCATTCTTTTGTTCATAGTATCTAAGCCAAATATATAGGGAATGAAGATTTAATTCATTTGAAAGATACAGTTATAGGGCCGAGCCCGTGGCGCACTCTGGAGAGTGCGGCGCTGGGAGTGCAGCGGCACTCCCGCTGTGGGTTCGGATCCCATATAGGGATGACCAGTGCGCTCACAGCGCTCACTGGCTGAGCGCGGTGCAGACGGTCTCAAAAAGGACAAAAAAAAAAAAAAAAAAGATACAGTTATAATTTGAAATTTTGCAGATTGAGGACACATGGGTAATTTTGAAGAGCAAAATAATAAGGAAACTTAAGAAAAACAAATTAATTTTTAAATGTACAAGCAAAACAGAAAAATACATGGTAAATAAACCCACCAGATTCTGCTTTAAAAATAAATAAATCTATATTAGAAGTAAGAATGAAAAAGGAGTAGGGTAAATCCATACCCTATATGGAATATCCAAAAACATAAAATAATGTTTTTGTTAATTTCTGGTAATAAACTCAAAAACCTGAATGAAATGGCTGATTTTCTAAGAAAATATGACTGATCAAAATTGACCAAAAAGAGGTAGAAAACAGATGAATGCCATGCATGCAAGAATTAAGAAAGTTGATAAAAAGCTACCCCATGATAGGGCTAAGCCTAGAATACTTCCCATGTAAATTCTTTCAAGCCTTCAAGTAAAAGATATTTCTGCTGCTATTTAAACCATTACAAAACACAAAAGAAGAAGGCAGATCACTTGATTATTTTAAGTTGCCAGCATCCACTTGTACTAAAATAGAACAAGACATTAAAAAAAAAAAAAAAGGTGCGGTCCAATCACTTTATTGATGCAAAAGAACTTAAAGAAATGTTAGCAAATAAAGCACAGCATTATATTTAAAGATTAATACGACACAGCCAAGTGAGATTCATACCAGGAAATATGTTACTATCATTCACCTTGTAACAAATACAGAGAAAAAAATTTGGTTTAAATAGATTATACCATCAATAAAATTCAACATATATTCCTGATTTATTCCTATTTTGGGCAACTACAAAAATGAAAGAGTAAAGGTATCCCTATTAAAGTCAAGATTAAGGTAAGGATGGCCACAGTTGTTGGCCTAGGCAATTGGACATGAGCATGTCATAAGAAATACAAATATTGGAAAGGGGGGAGCAAAGTTATTTGCAGATAATATAATCATATACCCGAAAATCCAAAGAGAATCAACAGAATACCCATTAGAACATAAGAAAGTTTAATGAAGTGACCAATTATTTTACAAATGTTTTTGTAAAGACAAATAATATGAAGGAAAATATAATGAGGAAAAACACCTGTTGACCAGAGTCTTAAAATTACTAGGAATAGGGCCGGCCCCATGGCTCACTCAGGAGAGTGCGGCGCTGGGAGTGCAGCAGCGCTGGGAGCGCCGAGGCCACGGGTTCAGATCCTATATGGGGATGGCCGGTGCGCTCACTGCCTGAGCGCGGTGCGGACCACACAAAGCCGAGGGTTACGTTCCCCTTACTGGTCACAAAAAAAAAAAAAAAAAAAAAAAAAACTAGGAATAAAAGATATATCAACCTATGTAATGTAAAACTCTATGAGAGACATGAAAGAATGTTTTTATAAATGGCTTATTTCTAGATCAGAAGATTCAAATTATAAATATGTTGGCATCTGAAAATCTAAGGATTTAATTTTACAGCAAAGTATCAAAGGTCTTTTTTTCTGGGACTTTACAAAATAATTCTGAAGTTCTAGAGAATAAATATAGAATAGCCATTAAAACTTCTTTAAAGAGCAAAAAGACAAGACTAGACCATCCAATATTAAATGTTATAGTATTTAAAAGCAGTTTTGCAGAAATGAACAAATCAGTCAAATAGACTGGAAACAGAAATATACCCTCAAAAATGAGAATTTTGATTTGATCTGGCACTGCAAAGCAGTGGTGTTAAAACTGAATTATTCCATGAGTGAGATTAGGAACAATAGGCTTTTGAAAAAATCAGTTTTATTGAAGTCTAATTCACATTCAATAAACTGCACCCATTTAAAGTTTTCAATTCAGGGCTGGCCAGGTAGCTCAGGTGGTTAGAGTGTGGTTATAACACCAAGGTCAAGGATTTGGACCTTATATCAACCAGCCACCAAAAAAATAAGAATAAAATGAAGTATACAATTCTATGAGTTTTGACAGACGTATACACCCTTGAAACCATTACCACAACCAAGATACAGAACATTTCCATCCACCCCCAAAGTTTCCTCATGTCTCAAAAACTAGATTTTGAAAAACATAAAAGCTAAATTCTAACCTCACTCTTTATGTCAAAATACATTTCAGATAAAGACTGAAATGCAAAAAAGACTAATAGAACTGGCCGATTTGCTCAGTTGATTAGAGTGTGGCGCTAATAACACCAAGGTCCAGGGTTTGATCCCATACTGGCCAGCTACCCCCAAAAAAAAGACTAACAGAAGAAATTAAAAAGGCATAGTGTTCTAATAATATTGATGGTAATTCTGAAAATGACATAAATCTCACCACAAGAAATTGATAAATTTACATCAAATTATTTAATTTCTGAACAGCACAAAATATCATAACCAAAGTCAAAGTTCTAACAGACTAGAAAAATTATTTTCAACACAAATGACAAAAAAACAGTATCCTTAATATATAAGATCTTACAAGTCAATATGAAAAACATAAATATCCTAATAGAAAGTCAACAAGGAAAGTAAACAAGCAATTCACAGAAAAATATATATATACTAAAAGTAAGATTTATACATTGTCAGAGAATTTTCATTTTTATTCTCACTTGTAAACTTCTGCAGTAGGGAGACAGTTATTTTGAACGCCACTTCAAAAACTAAAAAACGGTTTGGCTTTTCATTGCTTTTAAGAAAAACTAGGCCTAGGATCTACAGAAGCACTTCAAAAATTCATTGTAAATTCAAATACATTTGAAGTGATTAATAATTACTTCATTACAAAAGGTTCTTTATCCCCTACACTATAATCATGTTTTGTGACTTTACCTAATTTTGTAAAAATGGATTTCACGGTTTCTTGGCATCCATACAAATAAAAGTATTATTTATGTGGGAAATAAGATGCTTTGACAGCAAGAGGCAGTATTTCTTTATAAGGCTTAATTTTTTTTTTTATTCTAGAATTTTTAACATACCTTTTTACCAGGAGAAGAGGGTTTAAAGGGGATTGAAAGTAATACTTTCTTTTCTTCTTTTTTAATTGGTGGTAAAGGTTTCTCCGAAAAATAAGGATTACTGTCAAAATATTCCCTTGGGTAAAGATTTAACTTGAAAGGTGACCCTTTAAGTAGACGAAGGTGTTCTTCATTATCTCGCTGTAAAAGAGAGAGTTGGATGTTACATAGCATAAATTACATAATTTGAAAATAACTTAGAGTCAAATCTTTCTAAAAATTTTAATATAAACACGTAGATTCTTTGATACATACTTCTGGGTGCACTATTTTTAAACATTCCTTTGTTAAGTTCTGTTATTATGATATAAAAGATATGCCAACTTATGAACAAGCAAGAACTATGATTATTCATTATTCACTCAAATTTCTTTCAGGTATAGAAATCTATTCATCACCAGAACAAATCTATATTAACTATCTGAGTGGAATGATGTTAAAAAAAAAAAAAAGACTGGTCTCTAGTTCAAACCCTAGCTCCTTCCTGCTTTTTAGCATTTTTCAGCATTTCTGGGAAAGTTATTCTTTCAGTGTCACATCTTCAACTGTAAATGAGGGTGATATTATCTCCCCTTCCCACTAAATGCTGTTGTAAAGATTAAATGAGATTATGAATATAAAGCACCTAGTAGGCCTACAATAAATGTCAGTTTTTACTTCTAAGAACAAGAAATACTTAATTTTTACATTATGACATTTTTATAGCTACCTAGTATTCAAGCAAAACAGATTTTTTTTCCCTCCTATGTTGCAATCTTTTCTATGGGACAATACTAAGTATTAAAATTGATAGCTGTTAAGAAAGTAGCAAAAAAAATTCATGTTATGAAATATAGATTCAAAAAGACAAAGTAAATATTAATAGTTTTTTCTCACTTTTTTGCAAATATCAAATCTAATATTTCATCATTCAACAAACTGAACTGAAAACATTTGATAAATGAACTTTAAAATAGGTAGTTATTCAAGAGAAGACTAATTTTCACTACTAGGAATGCTGCTCTAGCACTTTCAGAATTTTTTACTACTTTTAGATTTTTCTCCTGCTTTTGCTTAACTTCTTTCTCCAGCCTGTAGAACTGTCACCCATTCTTGGTGATCTGCTCTCCCCTCTTCCACATCACAAAGATGGTGGTAATTATTCTGTGTATCCTTTTAGCCAGTGTTCCTCAAAATGTAGTTTTCATGGGAATCACTTGATAATTTATTTAAATTACAAATTATCAGCTCTTCACTCAAAGATTTCTGACTGCATTGGTATGCTGTATGGTCCATTAATCTGCAGTTTTAACAGGCACACCAGGTAATTCTCATGCATGTTATCATAAAGTAATGTCTTAAGGATCACCTTTTACTAGAGTGTGCTCACCTTTGATCAGAACAATATTGTATTTGTTTTACCAACTCCTCCCTAGAGTTTTCAGTTGAGTAGTAATCAGCATGTGTGTGAGAAAACTACTCAAAGCCAAGAAAAGAACCACCTGAGAAAATTAGAGGTAACAGTGTCTGGCTGTCCCATGAAGCTGAGAATAGTGCTGGTTCCCATCAGCTATGCTAGAAAATTACATTATTCACAGGGCATTGGGTAGAGTAGCCAGAAAAGTCTTGCCTCAGTAGTAGGGAATAATTAGCCCTAGACCTAGAACTGTTCCTGTCCCACCTAACAAACTAAGATTTAACAAATCTTAAAAAGGAAGATCTGAAAAGCAAGCCACTTCTAAGTGATTTAACTGCATTCCAGAATAAAGCCCAAGAATATTTATAAGAATACAAAAATATACAGCACTCAACAAGGTAAAATTCCCAGTTCTTGACATCCAATCAAAAATTACCAGTAAAGCAAAGTCGGAAAACATGACCCACCCTGAGAAGTAAAATCAACGATTCAATATCAAACAAGGCTGTCATAGATGTTAGCATTAGCAGAAAAGTGCATTAAAACAGTAAATATAACTGTATTCCAAATGTTCAAAAATTAAGTAGAGACATGTAAGATATTAAAAATACTCAAACTTCTAGAGAGGAAAATCACAATGTGTGAGATTAAAAAATACATTAGATGGCATTAATAGCAGATTGGACATTGCAGAAGAATAGATTAGTGACCTTGAAGACATAGCAATAGAAACTATCCAAAGCGAATACAGAGAAGGAAAAAAAGAGAATTTTTAAAAAGTGAATAGGGCATCGGTAAACTGTGGGACAATTTCAAGAGACCCAATACACATGTAATTGTAACTTCTGAAGGAAAGGAGAATGAGGGAGGGATTAAAAAAAATGAAGAAATAGTGGCAGAAAATCTTACATATTTGATGAAAACTATAAACCCACAGATCTAGGAAGCTCAATAGACTCCTAGTAGCACAAGAAGTATGAGAGAGAGACACCAAGGCACATCATGATCAAATTGCTCAAATGAGTGACAAAAAGAAAACCTTACGTGTAGCTGGAGAAAGAGACACATTACATATAAATGAACAAAAATGAGCATGACAGCAGATTTCTCATCAGAAACAATTCGAGCAATTCAAGTGGAGTGACCTTTTTAAAATACTAAAAGAAAAAGCAAGATGCATTTTTCCAAATTACTTTCAGAGTTAATTTTTGGAAATCAAGGAACATAAAATTTCTGACTTATTCTGAAAATGAGAATAAGAGAGCTTTTATATAAGGAGAGAAAAGTATCTTATATTTATAAAGTTTAGGAGAAAGACTGGGCCACTGATAAAATTATATTGTATGTAGTTATTCAGTATGTATGCATTATTATTCCTACAGATGAAAAGTAGTTTATATACAATTTTATATAAACTGCGTAATCCATACATAGAAATAGAGTTGCTTATTTTCACATGACCAAAGTTTCTGCCCAATTTAATAGAAAACTTTTCCTGGGTTTGGACATGATCATTTGCAGAATTGGCCACTATCCTATCTCACACTGCCATTGCCATTTAAAATCACCACAGCAAAACTGCTGAAGCCTACATACCTAAAAACACAAAAACAAAAAAAAGTAACAACGTGATTGCCATTTAATTTCTGTTGCTTAAAGTCCAAACTAACTTAACTTTTTATTACTATCAGCTTTCTTTGAGTCATATTGATATTGTTAAATTACATCATTCTTATAAAATTTATAAGGGTTCCTCTATTTATTCACACATAGACATTCCCATATACATAAACAGGTTTTACTGTAAGTCAAATACTGTATAAAGTGAGTGTAAGAGGCATATGCCAGTACATTTTAGTTTTTATTTTTGCCATTGTAAAAGGCAACGGTTTTCTCCCATCCTTTCACTTTCTCTCCTACAGGGTATTCATCCACTCCCTACCCCCCACTTTCTCCCTGCACCCTACCACTCCTTCATCCCATTTGCTCACCGTAATAGCTTCTTTTTTAAATTATTAATTTTTGATTCTTATAATTGGAAGAGGGAGACAGAAAAGAGAATGAGAGGGAAAAAATAATAAAGTAAAAAATAAAATTATTAGTTTTTTTCCTAAAAACTGTCAAAGTTTTATTAGTGTATTGACATATTTATATGGCTTATCCCCAAATGTCACAATGTGGTGGTGGTAAACTTTTCTTTAATTGACACGTAATAATTGCACACATTCATGAGGCACAGTGCAATATCTCAATATATGTACACAATGTGCAATGATCAAACCAGGGTAATTAGCATATCCATCATTTCTTTATGCTGGCAACATTCAAATCCCCTCTTCTAGCTACTTGAAAACATACCATAAATTATTGTTTACTGTAGTCACCTTGCAGTGCCATAGAACACTAGAGGTTATTCCTCCTATCTAGCTGTAATTTTGTATCCGTTAGCCAACCTCTCCTTGCGCCCCCCTCCAACCCCCTTACCCTTCCCAGCCTCTAGTAATCACTACATTATGGTTCTTGGTCAGCCCAAAAGTATTACCTTTACTTTCTTTGGCACAAGACATTAGGGTGTGGTGGGAATAAGATTAAGGGTTAAGATATGACTCTGTACTTAAAATAGAACATAGTTGATCAGGTCAAGTTAATAGAAGTTGCACAGTTAGTTTAAGGAGATATAGGACAGATGTGATAATCTACAGCAGGAGATAAAATTCATTCTGGAAAAAGCTGAGAAGATCTACAACAAGATGTGGAAATCTAATATCAAAAAGGTAAAATTATCACAATTCATAAACATCAATCTGCCATTTCCCCTGTGATACAAACCAAATTAGATCACAAGTGAATTCTCAAAGTTATCCAAATAAGAGAAAGTTTGAAAAAATTCAAAATAGATTATTTTACCTTATAATTTAGTTTTGGTGCATCATAGAAATCAGCAGAGTGTGAAAACTGTTTACCTATGGTAACATTGGCATAGCTAAGGAAGGAAAATAAGTGATGGTGATTTCAGGGTTCAGAAATTTTTAATTTTTAAAAAAATTCAAAACAAATGATATGAAAGTATTAAAAATTCCTTACCCATATCCAGTTCCTTTCTTTCCTGGGTTTGTGTATAAATTCTTTCCAGGTGCCTGATATTTTTCTCTGGGTTTTGACAGTGCACTGAAGAATGGAACTGGACCACCAATTGTTCCGTAGTAGCTTCCTAATCCACATCTTAAATACAATTTTTTTGTTGTTTTTTTAAAAGGAGGTTTAAATGGCAAATTTCATGTTATATATATTGTACTATAATTTTTTTAAAAGTTTGGAAAAGGAGAAAAACATGCAATGGAATTGGCTTAGCCTGAATTTGTAAGAAAAAAAATTTTTTTAGTTTTTAATATAATTTTATTTTTCTCAGTTTTCAAAGTCACAAATTTTGAGATATGTTTTTAATATTTTTATGCTTATTTTAAATGTTCCACATAAATAGAATTTCATAATATTCAGTAAAGCAGAACAGTTCCCATTAACTCAGTTAACTATATCCATAAACAGGCCCTTTTGTGTGTGTGTGTGGTTTCTTTTATAACTTTAACATTTACTTATACATATTTGTGGGGTACAGTGTTTTCTTTCAACACATGCATATACTGCAAAATGATTCACTTAGGGTAGACACCATAGTTTTGTACCCTTTACTCCACCATTTCTCCTCCTCCCATCTGCCTCCCTTTCTGGCCTCTAGTAATCATTATTCTATTCTCTACTACTATGATAACTTTTTTTTAGCTTGCAAACATGAGTGATATCATGTATCGTGCAGTATTTGTCTTTCTGTGCCTGACATACTTCACTTAACAGGATGGTTTCCAGTTCCATCCATGTTGCTGCAAATAATAGGGTATATTTATTTTTTATAGCTGAGTAGTATTCCATTGTGTATATATACCACAGGATTTTTTATTCATTCATCTGTTAATGGATATTTAGGTTGATTCCATTTCTTGGCTATTGTGAATAGTGTTGAAATGAACAAGGGAATGCAGGTGTCGTTTTGATATATTGAGTTCATTTACTTTGGTCTATACCCAGTAGTGGAATAGCTGGGTCATAAGGTAGATCTATTTTTAGCTTTCTGAGAAACCTCCATACTGTTTTCCACAATGGCTGTTCCAATTTATATTCCCACCAACAATACAGGAGGGTTCTCTTTTCTCCACATCCTCACCAGCATTTGTTATTTTCTGTCTTGTTGACAATAACCATTCCAATTGGAATGAGATATGTCATTGTGGTTTTAATTTGCATTTCCCTAATGATTAGTGATTTACAGCATTTTTTCATGTACCAATTGGACATTTGTATGTCTTCCTTTGAAAACTTCTGTTCATGTCCTTTGCCCATTTTTTAAGTTATTTGCATTTTGCTGTTGAGTTCCGTATATATTCTGGATATTAGCTCATTGTCTGATGTGTAGTTTGCAAATACTTTCTCCCATTCTGTAGGCTGTCTCTTCACTTTGTTGATAGTGTCCCTTGCTGTGCAGAAGCTTTTTAGTTTGATGTAGTCCCGTTTGCGTGTTTTTGCTTTAGTTGTCTGTGCCTTTTAAGTCTCGCTCAAAAAAGCACTGACCACTTCCATTTTGTGTAGCACTTCCCCTATGTTTTCTTCTAGTAGGTTTTTGGTTTGGTATCTTAAATTTAGGTCTTTTATCCATTTTGAGTTGATTTTTGTGTGTGGTGAGAGATAGGACTCTAGTTTCAATCTTTTGCATGTGGATATCCAGCACCATTTATTGATGAGCTTGTCCTTTCCCCATTGTACAGTCTTGGCACCTTTATTGAAAATCAGTTGGCTGCAAGTGCATGGGTTTGTTTCTGGGCCCTCTATTCTGTTCCACTGGTCTGTCTTAATGCCAGTACCATGCTGTTTTGTTTTCTATAGCTTTATAGCATATTTTGAAGTCAGGAAGTGTGATACCTCCAACTTTGTTCTTTTTGTTAAAGATTGCTTTATCTATAGGGGTCTTTTGTGTTTCCATAGAAATTTTAAGATCATTTTTTCTCTTTCTGTGAAGAACATCATTGGTATTTTAAGAGGGATTGCATTGAATGTGTAGATTGCTTTGGGTAATAGGGACATTTTGATGGTATTAATTCTTCCAACCCATGAACACTGGATATTATTTCCATTTATTTGTGTCTTACTCATTTTTTATTAAACCAATATCTTATAATTTTCATTGTAGGGTTTTTTTCACCTCCTTGGTTAAATTCTCTACTGGTTATTTCATTTTTTGGTAGCTATTGTGAATGGGATGACTTTCTTGATTCCTTCTTCAGCTGTTTTGTTATCGGCATATAGGAAGGCTCTTGATTTTTGTGTGTTGATCTTGTATCCTGCCACTATACTGAATTCATTTATTACTTCTGGTAATTTTTTGGTGAAGTCTTTAGGGTTTTCTGTGTATAGGATCATGTCATCTGCAAATAGGGATGATTGGACTTCCTCCTTTCTAATCTGTATGCCCTTTATTGCCTTCTCTTGCCTTACTGTGCTGGCTATAACTTTCAGTACTGTGTTGTATCAGAGTGGAGAAAGTGGGCATCCTTCTCTTGTACCAGATCTTAGAAGAAAAGCCTCTAATTTTTGTCCATTCAGTATGATATTAGCTACAGGTTTGTTGTATATGGCATTTGTTGTGTTGAGGTACATTCCTTCTATACCTAATTTGTTAGTGTTTTTATCATGAAGGGTGTTGGATTTTACCAAATGCTTCCTCTGCATCTATTGAAACTATAATGTGAGTTTTTTCCCCCTCGTTCTGTAGAAGTGAAGTATCACATTTATTGATTTGCATATGTTGAACCATCTTTGCATCCCTGGCATAAATCCCACTTGATCATTGTGAATGACCTTTTTAATGTATGTTGGATTCTGTTTGCTAGTATTTTGTTCAGGATCTTTGTATCTGTGTTCATTAGGGGCATTGGTCTGAAGTTTTCTTTTTGTTGTGTCTTTTTCCAGTTTGGGCATAAGTGTAATACAGGCCTCTTGGAAGTACTCCCTCATCTTTCATTTTTTGGAAAAGTTTGAGAACAATTGGTATTAGTTCTGTTTGGTAGAATTTGGCAGTAAAGCCATCTGGTCCTGGGATTTTCTTTGTTGGGAGACTTTATTATTGCTTCGATCTCAGTACTCATTATTGCTCTGTTTAGGTTTTCTAGTTCTTCATGATTCAACTTTAGTAAATTGTATATGTCCAGGAATTTATCCATTTCTTCTAGTTTTTCCAATTTGTTCACCTGTAGTTGCTCATAAAAGTCTCCTATGATCCTTTGTATTTCTGTGGTAGCAGTTGTGATGGCTCCTTTTTCATGTCTTATTTTATTTATTTGAGTCTTTTTTCTTCATTAGTCTAGCTAAAGGATTATAAATTTTATCCTTTTGAAAAACCAACTCTTTGTTTCATTGATCTTTTGTACTGTTTTTTAAATCTCTAATTTATTTATTTCTTCTCTGATCTTTGTTATTTCTCTCCTCCTATTGATTTTAGGTTTAGTTTGTTCTTTTTCTAGTTCCTTGAAGTGTTACATTAGGTTGTTTATTTAAAGTCTTTTTTTTAATGTCACATCATATTTTTTACTGTGATATAAACAAATAACATAAAATGTACCTTCTTAACAAATTTTAAGTGTACAGTAAAATATTGTGAACTACACGCACATTGTTGTATAGCAGATCTCTAGGACTTTTTGGTCTTGCATGACTGATGCTCTATACCCATTGAATTACAACTCTTCATTTTCCCCTTCCCCCAGACCCAGCAACCAATATTCTACTTTCTGCTACTGAGAGTTTGATTGCTATAGATACTTCATATAAATGGAAGTATTTGTCCTTCTGCAGCTTGCTTATTTCACTTAGCATAATGCCCTCAAGGTACAAACGGATTGTTCTATATGCGACATTTTCTTTTTTTTACGCTGAATCATATTCTATTGTATGTATATACCACTTTTACTTTATCCATTCATCAGTAGATGAAGATTGGGTTGTATTTACCTCTTGGCCAGTGTGAATAATTCTGGAAGTAACATGGGAGTAAAAATATCTCTTTGAGATACTGATTTTAATACTTTTGGATAAATACCTAAAAGGATTGCTGTGTCATATGGAAATTCTACTTTGAATTGTTTGAGGAAACTTTGTATTGTTTTTCATAGTAACTGCACCATTTTACAATCTCACCAGCAGTGCACAATGGCTCCAATTTGTCCCCAACCTCACTAGCGTATTTTTGGTTTTTGTTTTGTTTTTTCTTCTGCTTTTTGGTTTTGTTTGTTTGTTTCTTTTTCTTTGCATAATGGTTATCCTAAGAGGTGTATGGTGGTATTTTATTGTGGTTTTAATTTGCGTTTTTGTGATATGTAGTAATGTTGAGCACCTTTTCATATATCTGTTGTCCATTTGTACATCTTCCTCAGAGAAATGTCTATTCAAGTCCTTTCAAGGCCTATTTTTTTGTTGAAGTTACTTCTTTGTTGTTGTTGCTATTGAGTTGTAGGAGTACTTTATATATTTTGGTTATTAACCCCTCAACAGATATATGGTTTGCAAATATTTTCTCCCATTTCGTATCTTGTTTTTTTCACTCTGTTAATTGTTTCCTTTCCCATGCAGAAGATTTTTTAGTTTGAGGCAGTCTCACCCACCTATTTTTGCTTTTGTTGTTGTATTTTTGGTGTCATATTCAAGAAATCATCATAGAGACAAATTTCAAGGTTTTATGTTTAAGACTTTAAAATATTTTGAGTTGATTTTTATATATGGTGTGACATAAAGATCCAATTTTGGCTTTGATTCTTCAGTGTCCTTTGTGGTTCCATATTAATTAATTTTTTTTTATTTCTGGAAAAAAATGCCACTGGGAATTTAATATAGATTGCACTGGATCTGTAAATAGCTTTGTGATGTTTGGAAATTTTTAACAATATTAAACCTTTCCACTCATGAACATAGGATGCCTTTTCATTTATTTATGTCTTCTTTAATTTCTTTTATCAATGTTTTTAGATTTAATTTAATTTTTTTTATTGAAGCATAATTTATTATACATAGTTTAGGGGTATAGCATTGACTACCATCACCTGTGTCCAACATGTGTTGACCAAATCAATATCATTAGCATATTCATTACTACAAATTGTAATTATTCTTTATGCCCCTTA